TTGTAGTCTCCTTGAACTGGGGAGAATGGAGGAGCTCGACGTACTTTTCTTGGCAGAGATGAAACTAACAGAAAAAGAAATGGAGCGGTATCGGTGGATGATGGGCTTGACACACATGGTTGCGTGGAACCCGGAAGGGAGGAGCCGTGGGATTGCTTTGTTTTGGCGAAGGGGGGTGGAAGTATCGTTGCGATCGTATGGACGAAGGCATATAGATGTGGACGTAATAGAGGATGATGGGAGGGTGTGGCGGTTGACGGGTCTGTATGAGGAGTCTGAAACAGGGCGCAAGAAGGAAACATGGAGGACTTTGAGAATACTAGGACAACAGCATCAGAATGGACGACCTTAGCTCTGCCTTGGTGATTTTAATGAGATCCTATCAAGTGATGAGAAGATTGGAGGAGGGGATCGGCCACAACAGCTCATGAACAATTTTAGAGAAGCTCTGGGGGCCTGTGATCTGTGTGACATTGGCTTCAGGGGGGATAAATTTACTTGGAGGAACCATAGCAAGGATCTATCAAACTACATTTATGAACGTTGGATCGGGCCACGGCTAACGCTGTGTGGTGTGAGGCATTCCCAGCTTTCACTGTCACTAATGGCGACCCTCGCCACTCAGATCACCGTCTAGTAATCGTCAACACACAAGGAGAGAGAGTTAAGAGGGCTGGAGGTGATAGAGGATTCCGGTTTGAGGCTTGGTGGTTACAAGAGGAGGGTTGTAGCGCTGAAATACAAGGAGCCTGGGAGGAAAGTTGGCGGGATGGAGAGGCCAATGTGGGCGGAGCACTTAAAGAGGTAGCAGGGAGAATGCAAACCTGGGCGAAGGAGGTTGCGGGAGAGCTTGATGGCAGGCTAAAAAAGGCAAAGCAAGAGCTGGAGATATGTATGAGGGCCCCGGTTTCAGAGGAAAAAAATCAAAGAGGAGGGCTGACTGCGGTCTGCGGTTGAGGATCTCAAGCAGAAGAAAAATACCAAGGCCAAACAATGATCGCATGTGGAATGGCTCAGGGATGGCAATAGAAACACCCGTTATTTCATGGCCTATGCTTCTGCCAGGAGGAAGGCAAATCGTGTAAAGGAGCTGAAGAAGGAGGACGGGTCGGTAGTGAAGGAGGGAGAGGATCTTAATAACTACATTTGCTCTTTTTTAAGGACCTGTTCACATCCAGTGCTGGCGATAGAGTGAATGAGCTTATTGAGAAAGTAGAGCCCAGAGTTATGGATCAGATGCACACCATGCTTGATATGGAATTCACAAGAGAGAAGGTCAAAGCGGCGCTGGATCATATTGGCGACCTCAAGGCGTCGGGGCCTGATGGCATGCCCTCGGTGGTCTTTAAGCGCCACTGGCACTTCATGGGCGATCAAGTGGTAGAGGAGGTGCTGGCTGTTTTAAATGGGGGTGAAATGCCGCCGGGCTGGAACGATACTACTATCGTACTCATTCCCAAAGTAAAGAACCCGAATAGGATCAAGGACCTCCGACCGATAAGCCTATGCTATGTCGTCTACAAGCTGGTATCCAAAGTGATTGCCAACAGGTTAAAATTGATCCTTCCAATGCTTATTTCGGAGAATCATAGTGCCTTGTATCGGGGCGGTTGATCACTGATAATGTTTTGGTGGCTTATGAGATTTCACACTACCTGATGAACAAGAAGAAAGGAAAGGAGGGAGTGGCAGCAGTCAAAGCATATATGAGTAAAGCTTATGATAGAGTGGAATGGGAGTTCCTTTGAGCAATGTTGCATAAACTGGGTTTCCAAGCAAGGTGAGTGGATCTGATAATGAATTGTGTTACCATTGTCCGGTACCAGATTAAGCTTAATGGAGAATTGTCACACCAGTTTTGCCCTACTCGTGGTTTACACCAAGGGGACCCGATGTCCCCATATCTGTTTGTGATCTGCGCGGAGGGCCTGTCTGCACTCCTTCATATGCTGAGCGGGCGGGAAGAATTTCGGGAGCGAAAGTCTGCCCGAGTGCACCTCCCATATCCCACCTCTTGTTTGCCGACGACTCTGTTCTATTGATGAAGGCAAACCAGATGGAGGGGATGGCTCTCATAGAGGTGTTGGACCTGTATGAAAATTGTTCGGGACAGTGTACAAATCTGGAAAAATCTGCGATCATGTTTAGCCCTAACACAAAGGAGGAGGAGAAGGCGTCGGTCAAATCAGCCTTGCAAATTCATAGTGAGTCCTAGAATGAGAAATATCTAGGGCTTCCAGTGCATGTGGGAAAGTCGAAAAGGAAAGCTTTTGCTTACGTGAAGGGTGGCATTGCGGGACGGGTCTACGGATGGAAGGAGAAGCTTATCGCCAAGTCAGGCAAAGACACCTTAGTAAAAGGGGTGGCCCAAGCAATTCCCACCTTTGCCATGTCATGTTTCGATATCACAAAAACATTTTTTAAGGAAATAAGCTCTCTGGTCGGAAACTTTTGGTGGAGCCAGCAGGAGAAGGAGAACACCACACACTGGATCAGTTGGAAAAAACTTACCTTGAGCAAGGCTCAGGGAGGTCTAGGTTTTCGGGACATGCACAGTTTCAATATAGCAATGCTTTCCAAGCAAGTTTGGAGGCTGATACAAAGCCCGGACACACTGTGTGCAAGAACTCTCCAGGCCCGTTATTACCCTAATGGAAACATCCTTGATGCCATCCCTAAGAATGGAATTTCATATGCGTGGCGTAGCCTGTTGGCCGGGCGGGACCTAATCCGGGAAGGTTACCTATGGAGAATTGGGGACGGCTCAACGGTGAGGATCTGGGCTGGTCCATGGATCCCGAGACCGTGGTCACACCGCGTTATAACACCAAGAGGAAGCAACATCCTACAATGGTTAAGCGATCTGATTGACCCAGCTACTAGGACTTGGGATGAGCGGTTGGTCCGCGAAACTTTCTGGGCTGATGATGCAAGACATATCCTTCAAATTCCCTTGCGGGAGGGAGTCCAAGATTTCATAGCTTGGCAGTATGATAGCAAGGGGAGGCACTCAGTTAAGAGTGCGTACAAACTACACGTCCAAATGGAACGACAAAAACAGGACGGAGGGACCGGCCGGAGCTTGGATATAGCTGGCAATCTGGACAACTACCCGAACGACTCGTGGAAGAGGCTATGAAAAGTTCCCATGCCAAAAAACATCCAGATGTTTGCGTGGAGACTGAAACACGAATATCTGCCTCTCCGAACAAACATTGAAAAGCGAGGAATCCCGATTGAGGACACTAAGTGCCTTTCCTGTGGCCGTGTAGCGGAGGACGGCGCCCACTTGTTCATCAAATGCAAGTCAGTTAAGGTGGTGTGGAGAGATCTGGCGTTGGAGAAGGAGAGAATGGAACTTGAAGGAATTTCGTCCGTGCATGCAATGCTAGACTACTTGTGGGGGCTAGACGAGAAAAAGCGCATGCACATACTCACCTTTTGGTGGCTCTGGTGGTCAAATCGCAATAAGTTGAGGGAGGGGGAGCTGCCGAAGTCGGGCGAGGAGATTGCTAGGAGGACCAGAAGCAACGTCCTGGAATACATCGAGATTCTTGGCCCTCAACCGGAGAAGAAAGTGGTGGACAAATGGACCACCCCCTGCGGATGTTATGGTCAAAATCAATATTGATGGTTCTTTTCTCCCATGGACAAACCAAGCAGGCTGGGGCGTGGTGGCGAGAACATCGGAAGGCACAATCATCCGTGCACGTGCCGGCTGCCAGGAGAATGTCAACGACCTGTTTGCAGCAGAAGCATATGCAATGTCTCAGGCTGTATCTCTAGTTGCCGACCTTGGTCTTATACGGGTGGAATTCCAGACGGATTCGCAATTACTACTCGAAGCACTTGACATGCAGAAGGCGGACTCGTCAGCGTATGCAGCTGTGATAGAGGACACTAAATATCAGTTGAAATTGTGGTTTTCCTATCATGTAATCTCCGTCTGTAGGCGCTCTGCCAATACTGCAGCCCATGAGTTAGCCGTAGTCGGTCGTTTGTATGACCCGAACCTTTACGTGGAGTGGGAGGATGATGTACCGGTCCGTGTGGCTGAATGTGCGCTGGACGATTTGCCCAAGCACCGTTAAGTTATAAAGTTTTTGCTTTGCCTTAAAAAAAAGCTCTAACCCTAGACACAGACACCCATGCGCTGCCGCGGCGGCGGAATAGGAGCCTCTGCCGGCGAAGCGAGCCTCGCGACTCGCGAGCTCCAGGGAGGCGACGCGAGGCGGTCTTCGGTGGCGTGCAGGTCGACGCGGTGGCGGTAAGCTTCGCCCCCCTCTTTTACAGCCCACACATTGCTCAGCATAGGATGAGACTAGAGAGCGTGCGCTTGCCAGATTTACGCCCAGAAAACATGTTTCGGGAATCAACCGATTCATGGCATCATTATGTTACTGTCTGCTCTGCTCTGCGTATTACCTGAAACTTACAAATGGTGCAGAAATTGATGTCCCCCGTAGCCACTGAAACTTATAGATGCTGCAGAAATTGCTGTCCACGGCCGGTCCTCTTTGTCGCTGATGCAGTTTTTGTTGGTTGATCCGGACTCCTGCGCCTTTTCCAATGCCAAATGCACCATTTGGATTTGGTTGTTCAGTGTAAACTATTTCTATGTTGTATGATTGTTGCGCTGATGCACACATTCTGTTGTGCAAAGAGTCGGTCAGGGCATGTTGTGGTGGTGTACTTGACCATGCCTTTAGTTTTAAACTAGCTTTATCTTTCAACATTTTAGGAACATATGTATATTGATGTGCTTATAATTATTATTCAATGGCCATACAAGGCTCCATATTTGCTACAGATCCGCCACTTATTTCTTTCTTTACCCGTACTCAGTAGGTAAACTTTACATAAACTTCATGTCACTTGCCAGCAAATTACTGTTAATCTCAATCATAATCTTCACGCAATTTGCCCTATTGTTTTTTGTATGTGTATTTGCAGAAGGATTCGGTACCTAGGTCTCCCTGGGAGTCTAGATTTTGCCTACTATGGTTTCTGAGGAAACCAAAGCAAAGAAGCAAAGAAAGGAGGAATACATTATAAACAGTCTCCCAGGAGACCTCATTGAGCGGATATTTTTGAGGCTTCCAGTCAGCACTTTGTTGAGGTGCGTCGGTGTCTGCAAGCACTGGCACAACTTCATCTGGGATCCACAGTTTGCCGCATCACACCTCCAGTGTGCGCCTCGAGATGCCCTTCTGTTCTTCCCGCAAAAGTCGGCCTCAGGCAAGCCCTACCCTAGTGATGCTGTCCTGATTGACGAAGCCTGGTCGCCATCGACATATGCAGTGCCAGTGATTGGGCCTGATGACTTCCTTTTTGGTTCATGCAATGGACTCCTGGGCTTATACACAAAGACATCAACTATCAAGATAGCTAACCTTGCAACTGGTGAATGTCTCCACCTTGAGAAACCTGCGAAGAATGTTAAGGGTGATCACTTCTCTTTCTACAGCTCTGGATTTCATCCCGTGACAAAAGAATACAAGATTACACACTTCCTTGGTGATTGTGTCGAGGGTCGCCCCCATAATAAAGACAGGTTCAGTGTCATTCAGGTCTACACACTTGGTGATGAGAAATGGAAAGATATCCGAACCCCAGAAGCTCTTAGCTTGATCACTGTGAGAAACTCTGGAGTTGTCAATGTTGATGGCAAAATGTATTGGTTAACTGAAGACATGTTAGCTAGCTGGCAGCATGCAGTTATTTCCTTTGATCTCAGGGAAGAAAGTTTTGCAACGATACAACTGCCGGCAGCATGTGAAGATCATGATCGTTATGGTCCTCAGAAGTTCTGGATCAGAGATATGGATGGGAAAATATGTATAGTAACTGCTCAAACAAGTCGTTATGATCCCGGAGCTCTTCTTGGTGAGCTGCAGATATGGACACTAGACAACACGGTAGAGCAACAAAGGTGGAGCCAGAAGTACAATATTAAGCACACACCAAAGTATATTCCAGGGCCACATTTTGTCCACAGGGATAGGATCCTCACACAACTTTGCAGCAATAATGTATATTCGTGTGAGTTGTTCGGTTAGAACTTTGATGTTAACCAGAGTAAGTGGGTACACCTGTTAGATTTCAGTCCCCGCAAGCCGTACAACATGCAATCCTACATTTGTGTGAAGTCACTTGTACGTTTAGATGTCTACAAGAAGGCAGGCATTGTACGTAGACCAAAACAGCGGGAAGGCTGGGAATTGAAGAAGTGGGAGACATGGAAGTGTATGCTTGACAAGGATGCGGATATGCGGAGCCAGATCCACAAATTTGAGCATGACTTACTTGTATGTGTGCCAGACTGTTATTATTAATCACTGATGAATATTTATTACTATTTTAAGATTTGACAAACTGCTAATTTACTATTTTGTAGGAACTCGTGGAAACATCGAGTAAAATGTGCAAGTTTTTGCAGAATAAGCAATATAACATAGCAGAACATGTACGCACGGAACTCAATCAGGTGTTGCAGCGTAAACCAGATAATCCAGATCAGGTAATTCTCTGCTCAAATGATAGAATGCATGTTATCACACCTTTTCCGTGTTAGTTCAAAACATTAATAATTATCTGAGGCTAAATGCATAATAATATTTTAAGTGCATTGTAACTATGGCGTTAACAAGTTTCTTGCAATTATCTAATAGCCATTGTCCATCCGGAGGCTTAATTGGGTGGAGCAGAATCGGGAGCAGCTGAAGTTAATGGCTCGTTTAAGTAAGATAAAACACATGATTAAGGTACAGTGTGACAGTGTGCTTGCATTTGTTGATGTACTAACATTATTTACTATTGTTGGTGAAATATGCCATATTTGACAAAGTTGTCTTCCTTATAGGTCGTGAAGCAGGCAATGGATAACATCTCTAGTATTAGAATATTGGATCAGGTGAACTTTTGCATGGGTTCTAACTTCTAAATTATCCATGTTTTCAGCAACAACCTTTATAATTCTTGTTTCTTGTTTCTGTTGTGGCCTATCTTCAGAACTAAGCAACATAGCCTACTGTCTGTCCATTTTCTTGCATGCATTTTCAGTTTCATGTTTGGTGGAATATTTTGTACATGCTGAGCGATGAACATAGTTGTGCTAATTTAGCATGGGATTATTTTACTTTGATTGTGCATAAGTAACTATTCAGTGGTTTTTGTTAGGTTTCATCTGTAGCCTACCCTAACTTGCTTGGGACAAAAGGTTTTGTTGTTGTTGTTGTCGTTGTTGTTGTTGTTGTTGTTGTTGTTATTGTTGTGCATAAGTAACTATAAGAGAGAGAGAGAGATGATAAATTGATCTATTCCATATACCTATGAACACCAGATTAAGTTACAAGCATGAAGTTCTAAAACAAAGAATTCTGTGAGTAGCCTAGGTCACAAATTTTCATTTCATCTGTGTTATTCTGGTCTTGATTCCTCGTCTTGAAATTTAGCAACATTGTGTCCATTGCTTCCTGTTAGAGAAGAACAACGAGTTTATCTTATATGGCTCCAGAGTTTTTCCTGCATGGTGCCTGTTAGCACATGGGACGAAACTTGTGAGCGCTTCTTGTATTTGGTATTCTGATCCATATTCACTTTTGGCAGGGTACAACAGTTGCTGACGTTTCTTCCAGTGACGGTTATGACAAGAAGGAAGAGAGCCTCTAGCATTAAACTTAACTTTCTGGGGCACTTCGTTTCGTCTTAGAGTTATTCTGCAACTTGTACAAGGAGAGTCTTCCTCCCTTGGATTGGATGGCCTCTTTTGCTCCGTCAGTTGCTTGTCATTACATTGCACTCAGGTTTCTAGTTTCTGCAAGATGCACAGCGCACAATGCTGCTTGGCCCTAGTAATCCGACAGCAACACGGCCCTTGCCTTAAGCTGAAACGATGGTGTAATTTTCTGAACAGATTTTAAGCAGTCTGCCATGTTTTAAATACTTGAAATGCACTACCAGATTTCATGCTGGCTTTCTGTGCTGCTGTTGTCTTAGAGCATCTTCAGAAATGCACTACCAGACTTCATGCTGGCTTTATGTGCTGCTGTTGTCTGATTTTAAGCATCCTAATATCGAGAAATTTCTATTGGACGGCGCCCAACTTTTTAGAAAAAAAAGCACATTCCTATGCAGGGATATAGTCTACACGTGAGTGAAGTTTCACGATGAAATACGTTTTGTTTTTTGAGGATCACGATGAAATACGTTAAGCCAGTACATGAAATCTTGATTTTTTTAGCACATGCACTTCACTATAAAGTGCATGATTATTTAGTCAGTGACTCCTTCCATACATCCCCTCCCTCTGCTCTCCTGCCTGACATGCCATCCTCATGTTGCATCTGGGGGCCAGGGCATGGTGGTACGCTGCACATGGCGACATGCAACACAGAGGTGCGTGACATGGAATGCAAGAATAGGTACGGTGGAAAATGCGGGATGGGATGGGGTAGCGGAGTGCGGCGACCCATCTAAGTCGATGACACTCGAAGTGGAGGTGCTCGGAGCCGGCTGTGGCGGGGCCAGGTTGCATGGTGCAACGTGTGTGGCAACATCGGGAAGGGGAGTGAGGGGGCGGCGTTCTGCAGTGGGAGATTGTGTGGGGCTGCGACATGGTGCCCAAGCGTGAGGAGGCAGCATCAGCGGTACCGACAACCAAAGCAGGAGATATTGGCGGTTAGGCGGTGACGATGCCATGTACCGACTAGGTTTCTCCTACTCCACGTAGACCAGGACACCTCCAACCGACATAGTGTTGGGAAAAATATCGACGGGAAGGCAAAAAAAAATCTCTGTGAGCATGCAAATGTGTTTGTGAGTGGTTCTAAAAGCTACTTAATTGTGACATCCAAGAAACAACTTGGTAATAGAACATTAAGGCATGTTTGATAACTTTGTTTTTTCTATGCATTGAGAGAATATTATAGCTTTTAGAACTATGGCAATGTTGTTTCGTTACCATTAAAAACTATAGTATTAATACTAAAATATTTTCAAAATATTGCTTTCTCCTCTACTAAAAAAAAGAATCCCCAACCCCCTTTTCAAAGACTAAGGGGCTAGTGTTAAGAATGGCGTGCACACTTGTTGCGAAGCCTGCAACTCCGCAACTGGCCATGCCAACAACCAGTGGCCAGAATTGTAAGCTCGTCATATTGACTTCTTTACACACATGTCGTGGTAAAGAAAGCATGCATGTTCCCATTCTCGAAGGCCTATGAACTACACATGATAGGTGTAGATTGGTACAGACTGCACTTGCGTGTTGTATTTCTAAATATTCACGGCTTACTGAATCGCTCGGGAAAGAAAACGACTCGCAACTCCATGGCAACACGTGCGGTGAGATGGTCCAGTCTGACATCGTCGTATCTAGATCTCAACTCTCATTAGAAGCAGGGGCGGAGACAGAAATTTTAGCCAATGGGTTCGCTCACTAACTAGTTGCGAAAATTTTGTATGAAATAAGTCCTATTTTGCTCTATATCACAAAAAAAAGTATAGAACTCAAAAAAACGCAATGAATATCAATATGATATCACTTATCACCCATACTGGTTACTGTAAAATTGAAGAGTGCATGACATACCGAGCGGACAAAATTATAAATCACTTGTTGACATAGTATAAATAGAAGAGTAGTACCAAAAGACATCATAGTTCAAGTGCAACTTCTTTCTGAAAAAATTAAAGGAAATAACAAGTTAGTTTGACAAATTTAAAATAAAAGTTCCACCATGCCAAAGAATCATGTAAAGTCACCCACATTTCACTGCGTCCCTTTTTTATTTCTTCATCGCCTTAAAAAGATCAAGCACACCATCATCACTATTGAGAGAATTCTTTTTGTAAGATCAGTTTGCCTATTGAACGCAACCTAAATTGATTGATCTTAATTCATCAAAGCATGCATCACATTGTTTTACTGCTACATTATGAAAGACATTAACATTACCCTTACCCTCATGGGTATCCAACCTACTTTTCTTGTTCCAACCGTTCCAGCTGTTAATTCCAGATGCATCACTCCCAGATTGTCTCTCATTATAATCTCTGAAAAGATCACTAGTAGAAAAGGGGGCAATGGTCCAGACCGGGTCAACCCATTAGTCCCGGTTCAGTTCAGAACCGGGACCCATGGTGGCATTGGACCCGGTCCGTGACCCCGGGGGCCGGCCGGGCCACGTGGGCCATTGGTCCCGGTTCGTCTGGACCTTTTGGTCCCGGTTGGTGGGACAAATCGGGACCAATGGGCCATGCTCCTGGCCCACCACCATTGGTCCCGGTTGGTGGCTTGAACCGGTACCAAAGGCAGCCCTTTAGTCCCGGTTCATGCCACCAACCGGGACCAATGAGGTGCATATATATACCCCCTCGCGTAAGAGCAGAGCACACTGCTCTATTTTTTCTGGCAGCCGAGGGGGAGAGGGTTTGGTGGTGCTCTAGCTCACCTCCTATGCACACAAGGTGTTCGATGGAATGCCCGAGCCACACTACTTAAGCTTCTCCTCTCCAAACTCGACCTCCAAGCTCCATTTTCCTCAATATTTGTCTAGGTTTAGCGGTCTGTCATGCCCCGTCCCCGTCTTCACCGCCGTCGATCACCCGCGCCGATCTCATCGCCGGCACCATCGTGGTGAGCCTCTTGTTCTTATCTTCTTTCTGAAAGGAAAAATATTCTTACTTGTATGTTTAGATAGATACTTGTATTATTTTCTTACTTTTATTATTGCATCTTATATAGTGCGATGGTTTTGGTATCCGCCCCCGTCGGTCCTCGTCCTGTCCATGATTCGGATGTGGTATATATTATCTTTTCATAACTATTGGTTCATTTATTGTTTATGAAAATTATGCCGACCAACGTGACATAGATTTTATTTATCTAGGAGGTTGTTGAACCGGAAATTCCAACCGACCCTATTGTCGAGAGGTTAAATTTAGTTGAAGAAGAAAACAATTTCTTGAAGGAAAAAATAAGAAAAATTGAGGAGGAGAAGATGATATTGGAGTTGCATGTTGCAGATGTCGTCGATGATCACAAGATCAAGATGGA